ATGTGGTCCAGTTGCGTAAAAACGATGAAAAACAAACTTTGCAGAAGTTTCACAAATCAGACAAAGCTTTCCCAAATCTCAAACGTGTTTTTAAATATTCTTCTTTTAGTGTACAATAATCTAGTCCAGATTTGAAGAGTGTAGATGTTGTAGTTTTTGAACTAGAGCAGGTTAAACATGCGCAAGGGAGTGAAAAATTAGTTATAATAACCCTTTAGTCATTTCCTGAATCGGAAGCTAACTTCAGCTTCGTGAAGGACGGAAACTAAATTCATTGAAGGAATGCATTGAGTTCCATCGTGCACGCCAATTTTTTAAGATTTTACGTAACCTGTTAGCTCAGATTATATAATTTTAGCTCAAATTCTGTAAACAAATGACTTAAACTCAGTCAGTTTTGCAGATCTTGAGCTCAGATTTGGTGTGGTGGTAGCTGAGAGTCATCCTCAACACGTATCTTAAGCTTTAATAAATGACATTAGATATTTGTTCAAAACGTTTGCAGGCAAGACGCCAGGCGATAAACATTTGTTCAAGAATATTTCTTCCTACTCAATATTCTCAGCACGCTCGGCTTTGTGTACACTGAGTGCGTACCTGCATTTCAATATATTTTGAAAACAACATAACCATTTAATACAGTTCAGGATAACCTTTTCATAGCAGCTTCAACTCTAACCTGGTAATTTTAATCAGGCATAAAAAAGGACTCCTAAAGTCAAGGGATGAACCAGCGGTGGAATGAGGATTTGTAGTTTTACCACTYTGTACTGTAGTAGTTTTGGTCACTATGAAAACATGAAAGATATTTAATCAGCATGAGTTATTAAATCCAATCTGCCAGGTTATATTACGATAAACACAGTGAAAAATGTGAAATTTTATGGATTTTAATCATTATGAAAGTTTATTACTTAGTGGAAAGAAACTGTTAGGTCAGCCATGATGTAACATAACAAAMTGAAATGTTAGCATTAAACATGATTATTATATTTAGCTTTATATATATTTAAAATAAAAACTGGACACGTGAAAGATCAATATTATATAGATTATTTTCACTGCCGGATCAGTTAGCAAGCTGTAGCATGAAATTTAATGCAGCCTAGAGTTAATTTAGTCACTCAAAGCGACCGAAATATAGCATTTATGTTGTATAATTATTTGTAATTAGATAAATCAGCCAGTTTAATAAGTTGGAGGACATATTAAAAGTAACCTTTAAGCCGTTGTARCAGCAAATCTTACCTGAAACCTCCYGAGAAACCGCAGCGTTTGCGCTCCGGTGTCGGTTCGGCGGCTGGTTCTGGAGTTTAAATGCCCACACTTCCATACATTTTAGGCGGTTAATGTTACAAGACGATTAGCAGCTGAATTAACAGGATGAAACTCTTTAATTCCTCCACTCCTAAGATCTGTCAACAACTGCTATAAGCTACTCCTCGGCTAGTAACAAAAAGCCGTTGAGTTAGCTCAATTACAGTTTCCGGTTGATTCTTATAAAATAAAAGCCGTCTCGTAAAGGCAAAGCGACAAAACAAACATAGAAGCACAAAAAAAGTTTTAAGTTGACTTAAAATCAAACTGATTTAAATATAATTTTAATACAAGTGCGCTGCCACGATGAATTAAATAGTTTGCTTAAATTTAGTGAACTTTATTTTGAAAAGTAGACAGTTTAACCGGAAATTACACATTACTACCAAATGATGCGAGAAAAAAAAAATCGTGAAGCATCTGATGTTCTAGAAGAAGCGCGTACTCGTGCGCGCTCCGTCCCTGCCCTCGTGTGCACTTTATGCGTAATACGCATGCGCGTTCCGTTTACGTAAGTTTGTGTACATTTTTGTATAAAGCCGGCTTGTATGGCAGGTCATTTTAACATAAAATTGGCCTTAACGCACTTACATTCTAGACATCTGAAATTGATTTATGACTAGACATAGTTATTTAAAATATCTCAAATTTTATTTTGACTTTATGACGTCAGGTTTCCCATTAAAGAGTAACTTAAACCCAAAATCAACCTTTTTTTTTTGCAGATAAACTGTTTAAACTGAGTCTAAAAGAAAAAAATCAGTAGGTCCTCTGGATGGGTTCTTCTTTAGTGAAACGTTTCGTCTCTCCTCCAAGAGACTTCTTCAGTCTGATGAGTTTCAAGTGAAATCAGCCTTATAAGCACTGCCTCCACATGGACAAACAGGTTAGTCACATGCAAAAGAGGGTCATCACCTAACAATAGGCATGATTAGCTCTATTGTTCATAGAGGGTCATGTGCCCCATCACCTGACTATCACTGGGGCCCTGATTCCCACCTTTTGCTCACAGGGGGCGGAGTCATACTTGCAATAACAGCGTTGTAGGAGGAGGACAACTGGACACGAAGGCCTCCACCTCTGTTTAATGGTGGATGTTTTTTCTTCAAAAAGATGTCTTCTTTTACTCCTCTCTCAAACCAACGTTCCTCTCTATCAAGGATGAGAACATCTTCATCCCTGAAAGAGTGACCGCTGGCCTGTAGATGAGTGTAAACTGTAGATTCCTGACCTGTAGATGAGTGTAAACTGCAGTCCTGAGTCTTTGAACGATTTGCCAAAATCTCCGCAATGCCAACCAAAAGTTCCCGTCTATGTCCTCCCTGAATTCCTCCCATGCCTGAGTTTTTGCATTCAGAACCATCAAAGCTGCAGTCCATCTGACCACGCTGCACTGGAGTTAAGGTCAGGCCTAAAAAATTTGACCCGACCCAAGCCCGAGGACATTGTGTTTGAACCTGATTCGGCCTGACTAGTTAAGTCTGATTAGAGGCCCGAAGCTGAAGTCCTGACATTTTTTAAGAAACTTTTTTATGTGGGTTTAATGTGATTCCCATTTTTTTGGGCTTCAAAAACCTAAAAACCTAATCCTTGTATAAAATGCTGTCCTTAATTTCATTCAGGCCTCAGCTTGTTCCCACCCTTGCGGGGACAAACACGCCTGTGGGTGGGTTTGTGGTTGTAGAACAAAGGCTACAGGTCAGCAACGCAAGCTTCATGATGCTGAAAACAGTCTGGTCTGGTCCGATCCGACAGCAGGAGCTGGTGGTTAAATTAACGAGAGCTGCTTGCAGAAATGCACCTGAAATCCATGTGACACAATCTTTCAGTTATGGTCCTATACTGGAAAATATTTACTGTACATTTATCGTGGTAGAAAAAAAATAGCAGTTRGAATTTACTCCAGTGTAATACAACTATTCAACTTTATGGATGATTTTTGGGGATGAATATTTCTRCATGCATAAAATAAGCTTTTACTGTTTTCATATTTAGACCACCTCTCACACAGTGACTGTTGGATATGGGCACCAGTGACCCCCGCAACCCTAAAAAGAAGACTCGGGTGTAGATGATGGATGGATGGATGGATGGACGAATGGATGAATGGATGGATGGACGGACAGATGGATGATGGATGGATGGACGGATGAATGGATGGATGGATGGATGGACAGATGGATGGATGGATGGATGGATGGACAGATGGATGGATGGATGGATGGATGGATGGACAGATGGATGGATGGATGGACAGATGGATGGATGATGGATGGACAGATGGATGGATGGATGATGGACAGATGGATGGATGGATGATGGACAGATGAATGGATGGATGATGGATGGATGGATGATGGACAGATGGATGGATGGATGATGGACAGATGGATGGATGGATGATGGATGGATAGATGGACGGATGGATGGATGGATGATGGACGGATGGATGGATGGATGATGGACAGATGGATGGATGATGGACAGATGGATGGATGGATGGATGGACAGACGGATGGATGGATGGATGATGGATGGATGGATGATGGACAGATGGATGGATGGATGATGGACAGATGGATGGATGGATGATGGATGGATAGAT